AAAAAAATTGAGTCATAATTCAAAATATATATTAATAATTAATCTATGAAATTACCCGGGAGATCGCCCGGGCCTAAACACTAGTTTTTAATATAAAAAGTACTCTCTCTCCTCATGACCATGCTCTTATGGGTGATTTTTGTTAAAATACTCCTTAATAATAATATTAAAAACTTTTCCATTATTTATGGATGATGAGATGAACATCAGAACATGGTTCAATAACTCACGTTCCACCTAACCACCCACATAATTGCACATTCATTGGCTATATGGCTTTTGTAAGGCTCTGTTGGAATTCCCCTGGCTATCTATCTTACTCGGTATGACGGTATTACATTACTACTTTTACAAGTTGCAACCACAATACCACATTCACGTAAATTATTCAATTATTGCATATGTTTAAAATTATAGGCTTTAGGTCCATCAATCTATCTTCCTTTTCATGTGGAAACTTGTGTGTATTCCGGATGATGCCCCAGGTTACTAATTTGTGTACTTCTTGCTTTAATTTAACAATTATGTTGGACTATTTGTGTAGTTAGTGTGTGTAGTGGTTCGGGTATTGCCTTGAATGTCACCTTTTTTTTTTTACATCATATGTATTTATATTTTAATCTTGTGAAAAATAAATGAATTATATTACCTCTAATTTACTTAATAAATGAAAGAAATATTATAATATTATATGAAACTTGAAACATTATTAATAGTTGATTGAGATGGTAAAAGTATTACCTATATATACTTGAGGTTATGGGTTCGAATCTTGTTGAAAACATATTTTATTTTGTTAAATGAATTGGCTAGCTTACGTTGCACATATACGTTGGATGATGACATGACATAGGCACACACACGGCCACGTGGCACCGTTCCTTTTAATATATAGTATAGATGTTAACTAATATTTATATGAATTTCTAATGAAATTTCATTTCCAAAAATCCAATCAAATTCATATCTTAAAATATCCCTTTTCTTCATTTTTTTTTTAAAAAAGACCCCTTTTCTCACTAATAAACAAGGATATCTCGAAAATTTTAGAGGCCCTAAGCAAAATAATAATTTAGGCCCTTCTTCAACAAGTTAAAAATTTTGTAAGCTACATTTTGCAAGTGCAATTTGATAAACGATATACCAAGTATGGAGTATATTTCAATCATGCTATTATACTTCGTATTGATATTCACAAATTGTAATAGTAACTCAATAGCCAATACAACTTAAATTATAGATTCATCAATATTCTATTTAAAATTTGTTGTTCCCCTAAAGCTCATTAATTGCATTTGTCAAAAAAAAAAAAAAAAAAAAAGGCTCTTTAATTTGATGCAAAATGATTTCAGTAACAACATTAAATCAAGATGATAGAATTTATTTGATTTGCCAATTTCATGTTTCATGCAATTGAATTTTCATGTACCAATTTCTTTTTCCTGATACAAATAATTGGAATTTTAATTGTTATCACATAATAGTTTTGAAATTGAAATTTAATCATTCATACACGATATTAATGTAGATTAGTTTTTTATGCAAATACTAATGTAGATTAGTCATAATAAAGAGAAAACCTTTTTATTCCCAAAATTGACATCTTTACATAGAAAAAAATAATTTAAAATGTATGTTAAATTTAAGGTAGACACTGAAACTAAGAGATTTAAAGAATGAAGAATTTGTTGAACTAAGAAATTAAGACGAATTGATTTGGGAAATTGGGAATTATAATTGCACGTGATTTTAGGAATTATAATTTATGATACTTTAATTAAATGGGGAAAAGAGAAAGTCATAAGTTAAGGTCTGTTCTCTTACGTTAAAATTAAGTTCAGTGCAGTTCAGTTCAGCTCAATTTAGTTCAGTTCAGTTCAGCTCCTAATTTCCTTCTCTTATAAAATATTCATTTTAGTTCAGTTCAGTTCAGCTCATTTCAGTTCAGTTCAGCTGAGTTCAGTCAATGAAAGCCCTCAATTGAGTCAAAATAATTAAAGAAAAGGAAATCTAGCAATTAATGAAAAATCCGACTTTAGTGAACACTAGACCCTAGTGTAGGTAGGACACCCTACACCCCCTCTAAACGCGTCATTTAGATTACTACCCCCGCACCCTCCACTAACTTTCATTTTCTCTCTCCTCACCCTTTTTTACATTTTTTTCTCTCCAAACCCATTTCTCTGCAAGTTTCTCTCTCATCAAAAGCTTTAATTGCAAAATTGTTTTTAAATTATCACAAAAAAATCTTCAAGCACTATGAAATTCAATAAAATAAGGCGCAAAATCTGAAAAAGTAAGTTATTTTGTTTAAATTTGGAATGAAAAAGAGTATTAAACCGTAGGTTTTACTAATTTTTTTGTTGCGATGTATTTCAAAAATTTAATCGAAACTTCAACCATGAAAAATGTATATCAATGTAAGTAGTATACTATAATCTTAGTAATTTTTATTGAAAAACTAGTAAATTATATCAGTACATTCTTCAGTTTTGTTTGCAGAGCGAAGGAAACCGTTTCAGAGAAGAGAAACAAAGATTATAGTTTGTAGTTTTTTTTATTATTATTATTTCTTTAATTTTTTTTTTTATTTTTACAAATGTTCATTTTCATTTTGTTAAACGTTCATTTATAGGCTAGTATAATGTCATTCACATTTTAATAAATGATAAATGTTAATTTACATATTGATAAATGTTTATTTTCATTATATATAAATGTTAGTTTACGTATTGATAAATGTTCATTTTCATTCTTATTCATGATTATTTCATTTTTAACAAGTAAATGCATTAATTTTAAAATGAACATGTGCATATAGTTAAAAGTTCATTTTTATACTACTAATTAAAACACCAATTATATCATTGTAGACACCCATTTGTGTCTCCCCAAAACCAAACCCAGTGATGAGTGCCTTTCACGTCGAATCATAATCGAATGAAACGAAAGTGTGGAAAGGTCTAGTGTTGCAGAAAGTTTTATTTCTTTTCTTTTCTCCTGATTTTGAAAACTTTATTTTAAGAAAACAGCCAATCCAGTTTGGTTGGTCCATGATATGGGTCCAATAGTAGTGTAGTTGGATGGGGCTTGCAAAGACCTTTCCAACGATATATTATAAGCCCAATTCCGATGAATATTGAGGAAATTATGGCCAATTTACTAAACTGGGTCCGGTTTGAGCTTTATGTACGGCCCAATGATCTAGGGGAGGGCCTAATATGATTTATCATTCCTAATGCAATTAGGAATGGTTTTAGTCTTCTAGAAGGTTCTTTTCATTCCTAATTCAATTAGGACTTTTCAGAGTTTTAATCAAGATCAAATAGCATTTTCGAAGGAATTATATTATTTTATCTTCTAGTACGGTAAATTTATCAGATTTTCAAAAACGTGTTGAAAACCAGTTTGGCGTCCAACCCCAAGCCTTGGCGTCTGGAACCAGGCTTGGCGCCAGACGCTAGCCATTGGCGCCTGGCGCTAGCCATGTGCCTAGCGCTAACTAGCCAGGGTTGGCGCCAATGCTTTTTTGTGATCTTCAGACTCTGTTTTGTTAAATTATCTTTTTTGGATGATTTTCTCTATAAATATCGTATCAAAAACTCCGTTTTCAATCATCATCTACATCTATCGTTCACTAACATTCACCAATTCTCCTTATTCTTAAGTCTTCATCAACTATCTTCATCATTCACCAATTATCATTCATCTAATTCTTCGCAATTCATTCATTCATCATTCTTTCTTTCATCAATTCTCAATAACATTAATTCTTTAGTATTCTTTTCTAAACTTTACTTTTTCATACAAAATTCCGCATTCGCAAGATCTTGATACACCTATCCATATTCGAAGTTGCCTTTGCCCTAGACGTGAAAGGTTTTAATTTCTGAGGTTTTGGTCCCAAATCTCTCTTTCAATTATTTAATTTAATTGTTTGTTTATTATTTTCCTTGAAGTTACTAACGTGTGTATTTTGTTATTAGAAAGAGGTACGAGGCATCCAAGTAAGTACTTTATTGATTTATTGATTTTATGATGTAGATATCATGTTTATATTGTTATTATGATATTCCTAGTATCATGTCTAGGATATTTTTTAATATTAAATATGATTGCTATGATACCTTTTATTCTCTTCCTAATATTTATGATTGTTAGTATCATGTTAGGGTTAAAGATTTGATTTTTATTGCTTAGTGACCTGCTAGGGTTTGTTATTAATCTTGTTAGTATCATGCCTAGGATCTTGCTATGCTTTTAACATGATTATGATTGATTAATATTATTATTAATGATGTTGATTATTTATCATTGTTGCTTGATATGTATCATATTTTATATTGTTATTGCTTGATCACCTTTTATTGCATGTTTAAAGGGAATTTGGTACTTGTAATCACGCTTAATAAGATAATTAATAATCTTGTTAGGGTTAATGTGATTATAATTCAAGTGATCGCCAATAATAGATTTGTTTGTGCATTATATTCAACCAACATAGATTAAACAGGTTTAGGGTTAATCCTATTGATTGTATGTTAGTCAGAAAGCGCACATGAATACGAGCAGAATAAAGTAGAGGCTTATTATTAGGGCAGGTTCAATCTCTTTTAGGTTGGATTTGTACCATCATCCCCGAACCCTATTTTGGTTTATGACCTTATGGAGTTGACGATCTCTTGGATCGTTAAGGGGTGTAACCTTCACCTTGTGAATGGTTTACAAGTTCCTTAAAAACTTGTTGGCGACTCTTTTGCTCTATCTTCTTCCCTTTTGGAAGCCACCGTACTTTAGTATGATCACAGTGGGGTTCAAGCTAGTGAGATTTTAAAGGCTTGAAACTATTCCTTACAATACTTACTCCTAAGAACACAAGCCCAAAGAGCATGGGGTTCGGTAAGCACTCTCCACCCAAGTTTTGCCAAAAAGGCCGAGTTGGCTTGCCTTGAAGTACGGATACCCAAACCACCTAATCCCCTCGGCTTCTGAATTTTTTCTCAAGAAAGGAGATGAACTTTACGCTTCTCTTGATCACCACCCCAAATAAATCTATGAGTTCTTTTATCAATATCATCACAAATGGTTCTTGGTATTCTTGCGGTTTGCATATCATAGGAAGCCATCGTAGAGATTGTTGACTTTGCTAAAGTAATTCTTCCTGCTAAAGAAATGTATTTTGATTTCCACCTCGACAACCTCCTATCAATTTTTTCACATAAATACCCAAAAGTATCTTTTGTCACTCTACTAGTGAGTGTTGGCATTCCCAAGTACATGCCAAGGTCATCAGTTTGATCTATCCCCAAGAAACTAGTGATGCTTTGACAGTGCGATTCTAGAGTATTTCCAGAGAAATATACTCTTGACTTAGGATAACTCACTTTCTGTCCAGAGCCGCACAAAATCTATCCAAGCAATGCTTAATCCATCCTGCTTGTTCAACAGTAGCCTCGACAAATAATATTATATCATCCGCAAAAGCTAGGTTCGAGAGTTGAGGACCATTTCTACTAGCTTTTATCGGCTTCCACCTATTAAGAATGATTGACTCTTCAATTATTTTGTTTAGCCTTTCCATACAAAGAACAAATATGTAGGGTGATAAGGGATCTCCTTGTCTAATACCACGTTTAGGGGAAAAAGCTTGAGTAGGCTCTCCATTCCACAAGACTTTCATTGAAGAAGTGGTGATACACTCCATTATAGCATCTATAATAAGACTAGGGAACCTAATTTCCATAAGGGTATCCCGAATAAAATCCCACCTCAATTGATCATATGCTTTTTTGAAATCGATTTTTATAGCCATGAAACCCATAGCACCTTGCTTTGACTTCATAGTGTGAATTACTTCCTGGACTATGACAATATTATCAGTAATTTGGCGCCTCGGAACAAAACTTGTCTGCTTACTCGAAGTGAGGTGAGGCATCATAGGCTTAATACGATTCACAATAACTTTTGTAATGATTTTATAGGCTACATTACATAAGCTAATGGGGCGAAACTGAGAAGCTACCTCCGGATTGTCTACTTTTGGAATTAAAACAAGGAATGTGTCATTCAAATTTTGCGGCATCCCCTTCCCATTCAAAACATCAATAACCAGTTTGTAAACGTTCTTTGCCACTAGGTCCCAATTCTTCTGAAAAAATAAAACTTGAAAGCCATCTGGACCCGGTGCCTTTAGAGCGCCCATATCTTTCACCACTCTGTCAATTTCACATTGAAGCCAAGGTCTAGTTAAGTTGTTCCAGTCACGGGCAGTAAACTCAGGAAATATGTCACGAGGAAGGTCCTCAAACTGCTGGACATAATCACTGTCAAATAAATTCTGGAAATATTTGACAATATTGTCTTGCACATCCTGTTTTTCTGTCAACCATTGGTCGTTTTCCCCATCTTTAATTGCCGAGATTTTATTTCTCCAACGCCGAGCAATTATGCTCAGATGAAAAAATGTGGTGTTACGATCACCATCTCTAATCCATTCAACTCTAGACTTTTGATACCATAAGAGCTCCTCTTGGGCAAGCACCTCATCCAACTCCACTCGTAACTTAGATTCAAGCTTTATTAAATCCCTTGCCTTCTGTAGAGCCAGAGCACGTTGCACACCCGCAATTCTAGCCAAGAGATTGCGTTTCTTTTTAACAATATTATGGAAAGTCGAATGATTCCAATTTTTTAAATCATCAGCTAATTGATTAAGTTGAGGTACAAGGGGCGTTTCTTTATTCCATTTGCTCTCAATGAAACACGAAAATTTTCATGTGTCATCCACGCAGCTTGGAATCGAAAAGGTCTATTAATCTCAGCTAACGGAGCAAAACCATTCGGGGCAATAATAATCGGACAATGGTCCGATTGAATAGCTGGAAGGTGTTTAACCGAAGCATTAGGAAATCGAAGGCTCCATTCACCATTACAAAGTGCTCGATCTAATCTTGCACTTTTCCAAGTCTCAACCGAGTTTCCTCTAGCCAAAGTGTGAGATGCACCACTAAATTCTATCTCGAGTAGGCCAACATCTTCAACCCACTCATTAAAACGTGCAGCCCTTCTAGTTGTTTCAGCACAACTAGAGCTCCTTTCCCATCTATACCTCGTGTCATTGAAGTCCCCCGCCAACATCCAGGGGACATTATTAAGAGCTGCAAATTCCTTTAATTCCCTCCACAATTCTTGCCTTTTGGAGGGGTCCGGGCTGCCGTACACTGCAGTAAAATACCAGGGGACGCCATCAATTCTTTTAATTTCCATTGTAATGAACTGATTGTGTTTATGTATGGGCTCAACCGTAACAAGTTCCCTCTTCCAGTAAACCCATATACCTCCACTGAATCCTTGTGCATCAACTCTAGTATGTCCATTGTAACCAATAATGTTAGCTATTTTTTCCGCTTGAGCCCCTCCCATGTGAGTTTCCACCAAGGCAACAACATTTGGCTTATTGACACGAATAATTTCCTTTAAAGCAGACAAGAAATCCCTACTCCCCGCACCTTGTACATTCCAGATCATACAAGATATAGGCAGTGAGTTTGAGGCAAGATTTGCAAGATTAACATTCATTGAGTTAGTTGAAAAGTTAGGATTACTTAAATAGGCTTCTTGAATTAATCGAATTAACCGATTAACTTCCACTGGAATTTGGAGGTAAGCCACCAACTCGGGCGGCTCCGGCATCGGTTCTATCCATGTCTCCAGACGAACCTCCATCACATGTGTTAGGGGGTCGGCTATGATCAGGTAAGGCATCTCCATTGTTTGCCCCACAAAGAGGGTTTTCTCTGGGGGGATTGATAAAGGAATCACTTCTCTGCTGTAAAACTCCATGATCACTTAGTTGTCCTACTTCCTCTATCTCCTCTGTTTCCACTATTATTAAATCTTCTTGAGTTTGCTTCTTTCCAGTAACTTATTTAGTTCTCTCTACTCCAAAAGGCAAATTTTCCTTTCCAAGGTGGCTATTTTGGCTTTTGTGAGGAACTTCTATAGATGCAGGGATTTCGTTTTCAATAGCTTTTAGGGGATTGGAAATATGAGCAGGATTTTTTTTAGGGATATTTTTGTTTAGGCTGCCTTTTTTAATTTTTGGAATATTAATATTTCCTCCCTTATTAATTCCCAATTGGAAATTAATATTTCTTGGAATATTTCGGGAATTATCTCCAAGGTTAACAACTGATTCAAGAATATTATCTTTACTTAAATTCTGAGAGGATAAGATTTCCATATCTTTTGTATGTAAATCATCTAGAGCCAAATCTTTTTGGTTCTCACCTTGCGCATGACTCTCCTCATTTAACGCTGCATATCTTGATCCAGAAGCTTTTGAGATATTCTGTTTTGAATTTTGGTTTGGCGCCCCTGACTTGCTTTGATTTCTCGGAGCTGAAGCACCACCCTCCTTGGTGGTTTCCAGCGGTGGCTTATCAATTCTCGGATTCCTTTTTCAAACCGGTTTTTTAACCAGCATCCAAGAGCCGAAATCATTCACTTCCTCAGGCTTCTGAATTTTCTCTGATCCCCTGTCAAGAACTTGAACATGCTGATTAGATATTGTTTCATTAATCTGATCCACAACCATATTATCATTCGAGCGCATTGATCTTCCACATGTCCTAGCATACCACATTTATAACAGATGAGTTTGATCCCCTCATACTGTATCCTCCATATTTCGCCTTTGAGCCAAAACTTTGATAGAAGTGGTTTTGATAAATCGATCTCAACACTATTGCCCACGTTCAGCATACGCTGTGGACTTATCCACTCTCATCACCTTCCCAATCTTTGCTCCTATTTTCTTAAGGAATTCCTTGTCGAAATACTCCACAGCCAAGTTTGGTATACGCACCCAAGCTGTTAGAACCTTAGTCGAAGCTTCTTCAGGAATGAAGTTAGGGGTCCATTTTCGAATAGTTAGATATTTATCATCAATCAACCAAGGGCCTTGGGTGAGCACAAAGTTGTAATCATCCTGGTTGTTAAATCTAGCAATGAAATATTTGCAACCTATGTTCGTGAGAGACAAGTCACCCTTCAATTGCCACTTCTTCTTCAACCTTTTCATTAAGCCCATATAACCCAAACTTCCATCAAACATACGAATGATGAGAGTGTTTCTCCACGGACGGCGCATTGCTCTTTTTTCCTCCTTTGTAAGCAAAATAACAGGGCGCCTGTCTTCATCATCATCGTCAGATAATTGAATATTATTTTGCACCATAGTTTCCAATTGAGTATCTCTTAACAAATCCCTGAAAGACTTAGGCGATTTAGAACCTAATTGACCAGACAGAGGAAAATTCCCATTAAAATGAGAACCTCCATTAGCACCACCAGATGGGTGTTGAGGGTTTGAATCAATTTCCATCTCAGGCTCATCAGAAGTGTTGTTCCTGTTAAAAATTTCATGAGTAATTTTGCGTTTAGGCTTTTTATTGGATCTAGCCTCCTGGTCTATGACCTCCGGTGGATTTGGCGGCGGGTGTAAGGAGAGTCGTTCCGCTTCCATTCTAGAGAGAATTTTCTGTTTTTGGAAAGGTATATAGTTATTTAATAATCTATGTTAATTAGTTGTTAGGTTAAATACTTCGTATGAATGATTGAAAGAATGACAATGTGTAATTTGAGAAATACCAAAACAAAAGCTTCTTTTTTTCCTTTTTTTTAAGCTAAAATTCTAAAAATTTAAAACGATAAGTGGCACTCTATATTTCTTACTCCCTATATAAATTTCATGTTAGTAAGTATAGATTTGCATTTTTAACATAAATTGGTAACAAAAGAATACTTTAGTAACTGTGTATATGTTAAGAGTCAAATAAACAATAATTATAAACCACTTTTCTAGTAACATGATTTTAATTAATAAATAAAGTGTAAACCTATGAAATTACTTAGCAATAATAAGTTGTTAATGTTGGAGACAATCATATAGTTAATACATTTGATTTGTAATTAGGATCATAATTTGTGATCTTTTCTCTAAAATATAAATCACATACAACATCATACACTAGAGCTAAGTATAAATCACATACATCAACAAGAAAGAGATCGTATAAGTTATGCTACGTTTCAAAAAAAAAAAAGTACTTGAGTTTAATATTTTGAAACAAAAACAACTATGAAAAACTTGTTTATTTTACAATTTACAATGTGTTATATAGTAAAAATAAAGAGAATAAAAACAAGTTTGGCACTTGTTTATAACTTAGGCATGTTTCGATTTACTAAAAACAAGTGAAATGAACTGAGCTGAAATGAATTGTTTATGAGAGAAGGAAATTAGGAACTGAACTAAATTGAACTGAACTTATTGAAAGCTTTAGAGCTGAACTGGACTGAACTGAAATTAAGCTGAACAAAATAGACCCTTAAATCATCCGTTTCATATTATATGCAAAATTTACTAAAAATTGTAGCTACAAATTTGGTACAACAAATATTTTGTTTTATTTTTAAGTTATCATTTCTCTATAATCTCCATCTCCCTCTTTTATCACATTCATCAATATATTTCATTCTCCATTCATCAATATATTTGATATGTTTTATATTTCCCTAGTAACAACAAATGTTTAATTGGTAACCCTTGTCAATTAATTCAATTACAACTATATTACAAATTATAAATGAACGAAATAATTGACGTTATTTTATTTATAGGTATTATTAATCAATAGTGATAGTTACCAAACAATTATAAAGCTTTTGATGAGCCAGGACGCTACAAGAACTACAAAGCATGACATGCCCGGTTAACATTGATTTTGTCAAAATCTATGGGATATTAGAAGTTCGTCAAAATCTGAATAATTGAGATAATTGACATAACATTAATTAAAATTAAATAAATATTTAACTGAATCAATATAATGTCTTCCGAATTTTGTCAAAATCTGAATATTTGATAAAAAAAAAGATGTAAGATTAATTAAAATATAAAGAAGTATTTTAACTAAATCGAACATGGTGGATAGTTGAACAAAATCTAATTTGTTTGAACTGAATTAACTGGAACAAGCTCCTAAATTTTAAGAGTTTTTAAACTTCACCAAAAAATTCGCCCGCGGCTTTAATGGCTTCAGTCATTTTCTTCGGTAAGACGGTAAAATTTTCATCTTCTTCAAATTTGGTGCCTTTAATGGGTAAACCTTTTTTTAACAGTAAAATGTACGGTTGATTGTTTGGAATTTGAGCTAAATGCATAAAAATTTCTTATTAAAAAAATCAAACTTGTATTTAATGCTCTACTTGGCACTATACATTCCCACCTAAAATGGTATTAGGCGGCAAAATGGTAAAATATTTCCCCCCTAATTTTCCCTCTTCTTTTTTTGGCTCTCGTTGATGTGGCACAATCTCATTGGTAATGTATGTTGGGAACACATATAATGATTGTATGTGTATCACTTCCCGAAAAATTAGGCTCGATTTTTTTCTCAAATTGAGGGTAATGTATTACTCTAGCCCCCCCTAGTGTAATGATTTCTGGGGTAAAACATAAAGCTTACCCATCCTTCAACCTTCATTCTCTCTCCTCTTGTAATTGCAGATCTATGGAATTCATCCATTCATGAAGTGTGCTGTGTGCATGCAATATTTGCTGATTTTATCATTAGATTGGGTAATAATTAATGTTTTTCAATTCTTTGCAGATTTAATTGCTTTTATTTTATTTTTTATTTTTTTTTTTTTTTGCAGATTGTTTTTTGAAAAACTTTAGTAGTAACCTATATTATTCAATAGCTAGTAAAGTAGTAAATTATGGTTATATACTTATATATGCTTCATAATACGATAACTGTGATCCATTTTTTAAAAAAATAATATTTTTTTTTAATTATTCATTCGTTGATGAAAAAAAAATGGTGAAAAAAAAATTGCAAGATGTTTGTTATGAGAGATTGAGAGGAGTTAATAATATGAGGATCAATTTCAAATTTTTTTAATCAGACTTTTATTTTATGATTATATTGGGTTACCAGATTTATTGATTTTTTCATCTTGTAACTGAATTGCTTCATAATCTTGAAAATAAATTTCATGCTTGTTGAATTGTTGTATACGAAGTATGATATTTGACTGTTTGATTTGTTAAAAAAAAAAAAAATTGACGGTTTGAATGGAAGCATATCAAATTATCAATAGTGTTCAATAAAAATTAAATATTAATAATACCCAGTAATAAGTTACCCTTTACCAAACCTGCTTCTAATTAGCCCCTCTTAATTGTTACCCCCTTCAATTAGTCCACCCTTAAAATTTCCGTCATAATCATTACCCCCTAACACCTCCCTTAATCCAGGCAAGGCCTAAGTGTAAATATTTGAGTATTTAACTAATACTCCATACCAACTGTTGGAGCATTTGCAATTCTAGTAATGCAAATCGGAGGTTTACCAAGTGAGTGTGCAAGGAGTTAACGAGAGGAAGATGTAGCATACAAGTGGGGAGGCGCGGCAAGGTTGAGCTAGAGCTCGGATGCCTTGCGATGGCTAGCAGCAGGTCCGAGCGAGAGCTCGCCTATGTGTGAGCTATAGCTCGCTGCTGAAGGTGCCTTGCGACAATCCGAGCGATAGCTCGCCAGCAAGAGAGCTGTAGCTCGCTGCTGGCAGACTCTTGCGGCAGCCCGAGCGATAGCTCTCCAGCGAGGGAGCTATAGCTCGCAGCTCAAGACGCCCACTGCAAGGCTGAGCTATAGCTCTCTCGCTAGAGAGCGGTAGCTCGCAAACCCACCAAGTAATGGGCCTTGCGTGAGGAGTGCGTGAGACTTGTGATGTGATTTCTTTTTCCTTATTACCCCTATAAATACTACTCCTTGG